GGCCGCCATCTTGGCTGACAGTTAATTTGCATATCTCCCTGATTAGCCAATGGGAAGGGTAGCGGTCGTACGCTAATTACCATGTTTCTCTTTTATTAGTGTAGACTAGAGGCCTGGTGCATGAATTCATGCATGGGTGGGGTCTGGCCAGAGGCCCCCATTGGCCACTGGCTGGCCCCCGATCAGGGTGATGAACTCCTTTAGCTTTTTCTTATCTGTGAAGCTTTTTATCTGGCTTTCAATTCCAAATGAGCTTTGCTGGGTAGAGAAGGGTGTGGCAAGAAATATTCAAAGCGAGGAAGAGCAAGGACCTGCAGCCAGGGTGACCTTCCTTTTGAAAGGACATGTCTGCTCCGGGCCAAGGGTTTGGTCTCCATGAAACCCGGGTCAGTCTTTGCATCGGGCAAGTGGAATCGCTGAGGCCTATTTGAGAGTCGCCATGGCTGGGAGCGTGATCTCAGAACAGTTAAAAACATGTTCGTGAAGGGATGTTATGGGTTCTCATCAAAAAGCCCACACGTGTCTGCTACACCAACAGGGTTGCTTTAACACGGAAGCCTCCATCCACAAGCCCACCCACCTCCAGGAGCTGGCGGGAGGTTGAAAATGGCCGTGGGTAGATGAGGCCGGTGCCAGGCGACCTGGCAGGTGTCAGCGGCTCGGCCATCTAAGCCCCAGGTGCGGGGAGAACAGGCTCTGACATCACCACCGCGTGGAGGATTTGATGGCAGTGGCAGCAGCTTCAGAGCTTGTTGCTATTTTGTTTTATTTATATCTCCTATTCCCTTTAAACCTCTCCAGGTTGCGTTCATTCGAGAGAGGAGCAGCCTTTGCAGCCTCCTCGGTGGAGAGCAGGCCTTTGATCTGGGTTCACACACAGTCAGAGTCCTGTTTAGAAACACGTGTAGGTCTTGCATTGTTTGCTCTATTACCGATAAAGAGGGTTTTAGATTCTGGCACATAAATATGTTTCCTGCTTATCCACTAGGGCAGGAGGCTGAGCGCAGCACAGGAACAGCCACAGTTCTTCACTCCTTCACAGGCCTCCATCCAAGGGCGGCGATGCAGGCGCTTCACACACGGAGGGGGACGGGGAGCAGGATTGGGCAGCCCTGCTTTTCCCAGACCTTCTGTCTCAGTCCCAATCTTCCCGCTCCAGGTCTGGAGCATCTTCCTTTTGAGGCGGATTCAGGCGCTGTTTTCCGTGTGGGTGGTCAGCATGGGGGTGTTCCTGTATCAGTCTTCCTTCGGCATTGCGGTGGAGGGTGGGAGGGGGACAGCATGAAAGTGCAAACACAACCCATGGGGACTCCTCGCTGAGCACCTTCTGTATACCTGGTGGGCGTCTCCCCTCAGAAGTGGTGCTCCCTGTGTCTGCGACCAGCAGGTGGAGGGGGGAGGGGGGCAGGTCAGGCTGGTTGGCTGCCACAGTGCCCTCATAGCCACAGTGTCAGCAAGTGGGGCAGAGTACCTGGGACCCTGGATTCCCTCTGGGGATTGCAGAACCGCCCCCTCCCTTTGTTCTCCCATTCTCCGTGGAGGGGGCTGTTGGCAGACGGCCGAACAGATGGATCCACGATCAGACCTACGGCTCTCCAGGGAGGTTTCCTGACCCCTCTGCAACCCCCGCTCACCTGAAGCCCCTAAAATAGTCAGGGTGCCCAGTGCTCGGAAGCTCCCGTGAGCTCGTGGAGGCGGGCCCTTGGTCATCAGTTTTTATTTTTTTACTACATTTCTTCCGTGTGCAATGATCACACTTCGTCTGGAGCGGGGCGTGCTCGAGTGACCTTGTGGAGCGTCTATGGAGGGGACAGTGCCCTAGGCCAAGTTCCAGGAGGCTGGCAGTGCTGTTGGGATCATGCCAGCAGCGCTGGTCCGTTGGTGCCTTGCCTGTCCTCTTGAGATTGCACCTGCAGGACTACTAAGGGAGCCAATCCCCAGTTCCGCTCTGCCTCCGCCACTGATTGATTGGAGTCTGAAGGCCGGGAGGAGGGACCAAAAGGTCTGCCTTTCAGCTGATGGGCAGTCACCGCTGCCACTGATTGATCAGCTCCCGCTCCCTCAGCTCCCTAGCCTGGTGTTCAGGCTAGCCTTTTGGACATTATGGACCCTGGGTTTTTATATATTAGGATAGAAGATATATAAAGCCTAAGCGACTGTTATGACCTAACAACTGAACAACTGGTCGCTATGACATGCACTGACCACCAAGGGGCAGATGCTCAACGCTGGAGCTGACCTCTGGTGGTCAGTGCGCTCCCACAGCCAACCTCACGCAGCCCCTCCCCCCACCCAACTGGCCCCCACATCGGCCCTGATTGGGGGGCTGGCTGGCCAACTTCCTGAGGTCCCTCCTCCTAACCAGCAGACCCCCCAATAGGCCTCGATCACCAGCCAGGCCGAGGGACCCTGAATTCGTGCACCGGGCCTCTAGTAAAAGCATAAAAGGTATAGAAAAAAACAGAGGGCATCAGTTTCATAAAACTTTTGTTTCATTTATCTGTGTTTAACCTTTCTAGGAAGCTGGCCTAAGTTAGGATGACACACAGAAATATAATTTTGTATGATTTTAATTAAGCTGAGGCTTATACATATGGCAAGTTGTTTTAAAAAATATATCTTTTTATTAATTTCTTATAGTAACATACTATCTTCATAGAAAAGTTGAAAAATACTGAAAAGCACAAAGAATCGTTGATCGGCTGCCTCCTGCATGCTCCCGACTCGGGATCAAGCTCACAACCCGGGCATGTGCCTTGACTGGGAATCGAAATGTGACCTCCAGCTTCACAGGTTGATGCTCAACCACTGAGCCACACTGGTTTCAGCCTGCCTTCTATTTTTATTTTTTTACATTTATTTATTTTAATCCTCACCCCAAGATATTTTTCCATTGACTTTCAGAGAGTGTGGAAAAGAGAGGGAAAGACATAAATATCGATGTGAGAGAAACACATCAATTGGTTGCCTCCTACATGCACCCAGACCAGGGCCAGGGAGGAGCCTGCAAATGAGGTATGTGTCCTTGACTGGAATCGAACCCGGGACCCTTCGGTCCGCAGGCCAGCACTCTATCCACTGAGCCAAACCAGCTAGGGCTTGCCTTCTATTTTATTTTTAATTTTTAAAAATATATTTTTATTGATTTCAGAGAGGAAGGGATAGGGAGAGAGAGATAGAAACATCAATGTTGAGAGAGAATCATCGATTGGCTGCCTCCTGCACATCCCACATTGGGGATCGAGCTCACAACCGGTCAGGCATGTGTCCTGACCAGGAATGGAACCCTGACTCCTGATTCATAAGTTGGCGCTCAAACACTGAGCCACGCCAGCCAGGCCTGCCTTCTATTTTCAAAGGAAATTTATTGATTGATTCATTTGAGAGAGAGATTTGTTGTTCCACTTATTTATGCATTCATTGGCTAATTCTTTTTTTTTTTTTGAACAGACATATGCACCCGTATTTATTACAGCATGTTCACAACAGCCAGGAAGTGCGGACAGCCTAGTGCCAGCGATGGATGAAAGAAGGTGTGATACACACACACACACACACACACACACACACACACAATAGAGTATTGTTCAACCTCGAGACAGGAGGAAATCCTGTCATCTGTGAAACACGGGTGGACCTTGAGGACATTATGCTGAGATAAGTGAGACAGAGAAGGACAAACCCTGCATGATGTCCCTTATAGGTGGAATCTGAAACAAACAAACAAAACAAAAAGGACTAAAAAAACAAGGAGTGGGCTGGTGGTTTACCCAAGGCTGGTGGGTGGGGACAGGAGAGAGTGTGAAGGGCACATACTTGCAACTAGTAGGTCAATGGTTCCTGGAGGCCCCGGAGGGAGTTACACAGGACGGAGTTACACACAATGACGTGATCATAAGCATCAAACGTGACATGTGCTCCCACCACAGAAGACACCACAGAAGTGTCAGCTATTGCCACACGGCAACCACTGTGCAATATAAAGCTATCAGATAAATAGACTGTGCATCCGAGATGCAACATCATGTCAATTATATCTCAAAGACAACATGTCATAAATACATTAACCTGAGACCTTAGATGGTCTTAACCTGTACAGTAAAGCATGCCCATCCACAGGTACTTCTCTCCTTCGATATAGTGTGCATTAGGGAACATTTTTAGTATTCTCCTGCAGACTCCATAGATGATCTCCTGCAGGCTCCATGGATGATCTCCTGCAGGCTCCATGGATGATCTCCTGCAGGCTCC